TCTCTCTCTCTCTCTCTCGCAAATTATGATGCAACTTGATTCAACAATCAGTATTGACCGGTTGAACTTCTTTTTATCTAGGACTTCGGAACTACATCAAAGCTCGATTTTATTGTTGATGATGATATGATTGGTGAAAATGAAGACGATATGTCTGGTGAAGAAGATAACTGTTTTGACACGGTATGCGCAATTTGTGATAACGGTGGAAATATATTGTGGTACGAAGGTCTATCCTTTAGCTTTGCATTTATGTTTCTACTTTAATTACAAGTGTCATCATCATGTATTGGTGTTTAGTAGTACCAAAGATCCTGCTTCATTAGAACTATATTTTCGGTTATGCCTGACGTTATGGTTATACATAATTTTTGTCATTATCGAATAACCAAAAATGTCTTTCTTCTGCCACCTCTGGTTTTCTTAGTGTAAAATTTGCGGGAAATGTGCTCAATTGATGGGATATGTGCGAAACCAGTCAAGACTTTTTTCTCTTTTTTTTTTTTTTTTTTTTTTGGCGCCCTCCTAAACCTGTGGTTTGGGTGCATAAATAGTCCTCTCCATCAGTTTTGACTTTTAAGTGCATGCTTGCAACTCGCATTCTCAACCTTTTAGAAGGAAAAATGGTTAATTTCACTAGCGGCCCCTGAAATTTGCACTTTTTGTCCCCTTAGCCACCAAAGTTTAATTTGTATCTGACTCATCACTAAACTTCACAGCATCTTTCAGTGAGCTATTCTATTTGACTTCCATCTTTTAACAGAAAATCCTACATATCTTGTATGCCATGTCATCAATCTGTTATTTCATGCAGGATCAAACAGAATCAGTATTTTGACTAAACTATTTTGTAAAATTAAAAGATGAATTTACAAGTTAAAGTTTGTCGACCAAAGTGACTCAAGTGCAAAGTTCAGTGGCCATTAGTGAAATTAGCCAGGGAAAAATAGTCCAAACGGTATTTAATCTATTTTTCACTGTATTTAAATATAAAAGAAAATTAAAAAATTTTAAACTGATAAAAATGGGAAAAAAAACAGGAAAGTTTCTTCATCTCCCTCCATGGAAACCCCACACCACAAGCCCCAATATCGTTGCAGTGCCCCTGCCACTACCACCATTTATGCCGCTACCTACCCCAGCCGGCCACCACAAACTTCCGGTTTTTTAATGTTGTGTTTCTATTCTACTTTTTTTCCCTAGTTCGAAAGGTGATGATTGGCTACACATACATATAAAAGAACATGGAGATGCCAAAGATTGAACTGTTGATGGGGGACCTAAACTGAGGATAGGGATAATGTACATACATGGTTTTCAATTCTAAAGTAATATTTCCTGGTGAAGTAAGCATGGGAAATTGCTAATGGTGGTTTACTCTTGATTTTCATCAACTGCCGTTTGTTAAGAACAAAGAATTAGTAACCTAACATATGGAATTGGATATCTCTCATTGAGATTCCAATCATGTGATAACGAATAAGTGCTAGACAAACTTGTGACCCATGGTGTGCTCTCTGTGAATATAGTGGATATGTCTGATTCGTGTTTGCCAAAAAGAATTTCATTGTGTAATGCCCATAAATGGAATCTTATCTGGGGCGGATGCCTCCTAAAGAGTAACGCAAGTGTGCGATGGCACATACCAACAATATTATTGTCAAAAGCACTTCTCTTGTGTTCTTGAGTTAGTTTTTTGTCTTACCCAAATGGTGTATGGATATGCATAGAGGTTTTTCTCAACAAAAGGATATTCGGCAGGATAGGTTTCATGCCAAAACCCTCTCGATCTTATCTTAGAATGCCATGTGACGTCATCTTCAGTGCTTTTTAAAATTTAATAGAATTGTCTATTTGGTTTGCAATAAGAAAACTTTCTTATCAGGCCTAGGGTGGTTTTGACATGATCTAGAATCTTTTGAACACTCTTTTATGCATTTCAACTTTGCTTTTTATGCAGAATGTTTATGTAAATTCTTGTAATGTTTATGTAAATTCTTGTTTACTTTATTACATTAACAGTAATTCGAATGATATATCATCTAGATTGTTTGTTAACTTTATAATTGTATGTTACTTCTGGAGACATTTTGCATTATTTTCAATCTTTTGATAAACTGCTTTCCACCTTCTGCAAATATTAATCCGACTCCTTCTCTCTCTTTTAAATATCACTTGTCGTCTTGATAGTTGTGAGGGGAAATGCATAAGGTCATTTCATCCTACCATTGAGGATGGTGCTGATTCTAAATGTTCGTCTCTTGGTTATACCAATGCAGAACTGAAGGTATGCTTCCCACCTGTGTTGATCTTCTCTTTGCCATCTCTTTTCCTTTTGAGTTTTTTTTGTTTCCCTTATGGATTTTGCTTCAGATATTGTATCTTTCAATTTCAGGCAATGAAAAATATTGATTTTTATTGTAAGAATTGTGAGTATAAGCTACACCAGTGCTTCGTTTGTGGGGAATTGGGATCTTCTGATGAATTATCGGGTGCTGAGGTACGAGTTCTTTGAAAATGTTTGACTATCACGTGTTGGTTTTCATAATGTGACACTTGTTTTTCTCATGAAAATGGTAGATTCTGTATGAGATATACTAGGGGTTCATTTGGTACAATGGTTGTGAGTAGTGCTTTTGAATCTAGACATTCAACTGATGGTATGGCAACATAACTATGCTTTGATTTCTGATTTTTAAACACTATGTAATTGTTTTGGAAGGATGTACATACTATATAAATGTTTGAGTAAGCATTACATATTCATTATCTATCTCATAGTTAAGTATGGATAGTTGTTTCTTATAAATAAGATTTTTTTTTTATTTTTTTCCCATATCATATAACATTTTGAAATTAATATTTTAGTTAAATTATAATGGTGCAATTGTATAAATCATATAATTTAAAATGTATTTGTTTAAGTTGTATACATCATAATTTCTAAAATATAAGTGAATATATGAATTATATTTGGCACATTCTTATATAAAGCTAATAACGCTTTGAAATAATAAATTATAATAAATATTAAGATTAACTGTAATTTTAACCGTTGTAAAACTAGAAGTCATAAGACATTTAATAAACTTTTCTCAAGAATCAAACAGAATATGAAATGATTAGAAAATATATATAATGAGAAAACCATAAATGAACAAAAATTAGAGAGAAGAAATAACTAACCTAGTCACACTTTTTGATGAATAAAAAATATAAATTTGAAGTTTATTAGTTGTGTTTAGATGTCCAATGATAGTTAGGTCAGTGAGTAAAACGTTTTTTGATGTACATATATGATATATTAAATAGTGTAGGGTTTTATTTGAATATAATTGACGTTTTTCAAATTAATAAGGATAACATTGTAAGTGTAAAAGTTTCATTAAATGGGCATTTTAGTTTCCCCATATAATTTGAATGTAGAGCTCCAAATCAACTTCAAAAAATTTTATTTTTGGGTCAACAAGCACCTATTTGACTGTACCTATTATTTTAAGTAATGGGGCTTTGGGGCTTTAAAAAAGCCTTTCCTAACACATACTAGATAACCATTTAACTTTTCGTGTGATTCTATTGATATTTCCTTTCAGAGTTAAACTCCCATTTGTCCATATTTCAAGAAGCAGTATCTCTTGTTTTTCATTCCCATTCCCATTAGAATGAATACTATGATTTGCCGAGGTGAAGCACCTATTGGTTAACACCTAATGGTTCTTCTTGCTAATGTTTATTTAGACTTATCTTATCTAAATTGTGCTTCTTCTTTTTTTCCTGACTTTTAACACACTTTGTGATCGTCAAATGTATCCTGATCAATCCTCGCATTTCCCACGAAGCATCTTGTTTTATAGTCCATTGAGAAGTTCACTATAGTTTTCTTTTCATCGGCCTTTTTTGTTAGCTTGAACTTTCTGCAATTTACAGGAACAATACTTTGGTTGTCATACCTCATGATGACTCAATGTTGTGAGTTTCCGTCCTCCTGTTAGTATTATCTTTGTGCCTCTAACTCATCTTCATCTGAATTATACAACTAAGCCTCCGTTTGGGAAGAATTTATAAATAGATAGAAATGAGCGGTAAGTTGATAGTACTTGTGGATTTATTGGATTGTGTGGTTGAATATGAACTTTGACCATGTATAAATAATTTAGCAATCATTTATAAATTAGCCAAATAGAGGGTAAGTTCTCACATTCCTAGGTTCATTTAGCTCTCTATTTTGGCACTGCTGCAGCCTTGCATTTGTCCATATATGAGAAATCGCTGATTTTTTTTGTCCCGATATTTTGCAGGTCTTTCGTTGTGTTAACGGAGCTTGTGGGCACTTCTATCATCCCAGATGTGTAGCAAAACTTCTTCACGAGGGGAATGCAGCTGCAGCAGAAGAACTCCAAGGAAAGATTGCTGCTGGGGAACAGTTTGTGTGTCCCCTTCACAAATGCCATGTCTGTAAAGAATTAGAAGTAAAGTCGGAACCTGCCTTGTGTTTTGCTGTATGTAGGCGTTGTCCTAGAGCATATCATAGAAAATGTTTGCCAAGGTGCTCCAGAACCTTTTTTGAAAATTTATTTGAGATAATTATCCAATCTTTTGGTCTTGTTTAGAGTTCTAAAAGTTTTAGTTACATTGACCAGCGAGATTGCACTCAAAGATGAGGATGAAAACATTGTACAAAGGGCTTGGGAGGGTCTTATACCCAATCGTACATTAATTTACTGCTTGTGAGTGTTTCTGCAACTTTATAATTGATTTTACTGGCTGTAGTATGAAAATTATTTTATTGACCTAATTGTATCCTTATCAGAGAACATGATATCGATGAAGATCTTGCTACCCCTGTTCGTAATCATATAAAATTCCCAGATTCTGAGCAAAAGGACAAGAAAAAGCAACCATTAGAAGCATATGGCAAGCAGAAAGTTGTTTCTAAGAAAAAAAGTTTTGCTTTAGAAGATGCTGCTGGGAAGAAAAGTGCTGCGAAACTGTCAGAAGTGGTTGGAAACTTATCTTCGGCTGTAAAACAGAGTTTCCTTCCACAAAAGAGGGGGGATAAATTGTCTGGACAATTGTCTTTTAAAAAGCAAAAAGTGGCATTGAACAACAGTTGTCCAGAGAAACAAAATGAATCTACCATCGGCACTGAGGACATGATATCTTTGGGGGAGCAGTTGTTTGCCAGGTATTCAGACTCAACTAAGGCAGGACAGGTGGCAAGAGGTGATGGTGAACAGGAGCTCAGTCAGAGGATTAAGCCTAAAGGAACAAACTGTTTGTTGAATCTTGATGCTGATGCAAAGAAAAGGTAATCCTCCTTTATGGCCTGTGGTTATCTCTCATCTGGAGAGAATAAAGCACAATTGCACACATAACCATGTTAATATGTAATGGCAGTTTTTCTAGTTTTAGACAGGTGAATTGCTCCAGGGTGCAGTTTCTATTATTGTTGTTGTTATATATTATTATCATGCAGAATATTGGCTATGATGAAAGATGCTTCATCCTCATTAACACTCGAAGAAATCGAAGATAAGCATAAAGCACCATCAGCACATGTACATTCTTCAAAATATGTGGTAGACAAGCATGTAACCTTGGGGAAGGTGGAGGGTTCAGTTGAGGTATATGTGCAAGATTTTTTGGCCTGATGATGATTATTTAATTTGATTTGAATTTTAATTCAAATGTATTTAAAGGCTGTGCGTGCAGCTTTAAAAAAAATGGAAGGAGGCTGTGTTACAGATGCAAAATCTGTTTGTGGAACCGATCTTCTCTACCAAGTGATGAAATGGAAGGTAATTGTCCAAGCTCAATTCTTAATTTTTATTTTGTTAAATGTATTTTATTGTATTTGGGTCCATAATTAGTGATGAATTATTTATCCCATGTGAATTTTCTCTATCTTTTGTTTGAGCTGTCTCATATTGGTAAAATATGACTTCCGAAAATACTGTATGACCTTGGATGATCTCTCCACTTATATCAATTGGTTTTAATGTAAAAAAGAAATTTTGGGTTACATATTCTCCAAGTTTCTATAAATTGATTGGTCTTGGGAATTCTTCATTTTGCTTTGTGTAACTAAAAGAGTTCTTTATATTAATGGAACTAACTACTCCATGAAAACCAATTATATAGCTAACATCCTCGTCATTCTTGAAACAATGATTCATAAAGGAACACATGCATGAATGAAAGGGGAGTATGGTAAGGTTGCCTACAGGTTAGGGAAGAAGTTGGAGTTTCTGTGAGCTCTACACCATTAGAAAACAAAATAGAGTGGATAAAATTCCGCAATATTTACCTATTTAATATATTCCCTTGAAATATCTGGTTTTGCAGAGACATATATACATACACTGTCAGGTCTCATATTTCCTTGACTTGAAGCTGTTACACAAGAAATTGTATGCTTCTTTTTGTGAAATGTTCTATAATTTCTCTACTCTTACTCTGTTCATGAGGACTCCTGCTCCCCGATAGTTGTATTTATCGTTTTCTATTAATTATTTTTTCTTTGATAACTGAAAGCGAGTTAGTACCTACAAATATATAACTTGTGAAGCTGATAGAAGTGTAAAGAAGAACAAATATGGGATCAAAAATGTGATTTCGTGCACAAATTAATGACTGGGTTCATAATTGAAGAACAATCTTCAAATATTTTATTAATATTCCTAAAAACCTAGTTATGATAAACACATTAAAAGGCTTAAATAAGAAAAGCTGGAAAGAAACCTAAACCCAATCGTGAAATAAACTCCTATCCTAATAAGGGTACAAGTATCCTTATTAAAGTGAAATTATTTGGTAAAGATAAAAGTGGAAGAGACGAAGATAAAAATTAATAAATATCACTATCGAGATAAATTATTACACCCCTGTTTGAGCCCCATTTTTGGGCCAAAATACACTTCGGAATAGCGTTTGTTGGAGAATGTGTGGTTAAAAATAAGGAAAAGTTTTGGGTTTACGTATAAAATTATTTTATGGGAAAATGTGTGGTTGAAAATGAGTTTTGAAAAAGTGAATTTTTGAAAAAGTGGGGGCCTTAGGCTAAATATGAGTGTCCTGCATCAACTTGGAAGCCCATAAAATTTTTATGAACCAGCTAAACCTGAAACCTGACTTAGAAATAATTTGAGCATTCTTTGGAACCACATAACAAATTTATTTGCCTTACAGTTGCATCAGCAGAATTACTGGTCTCTACTCTTGACAATCTTGTAAGGAGATTTTAACGAATTATCAATAACAGTATATAGATCCACCAGGGATATACTCTATATGGTATCTTCAACAAACACCTATTATGGTATATTCAAAATAGGCTATTCGCTCATATACTTTACATGTCCGTTGACAGTAGAGGATAATGGCTACTGCTGAGTGCTTACTGGGCTATGAAAGTTTCACGATTCTGTGTATATAAAAACGATTAATGCAATGCAAGCCTAATGGTTAAGGATAAAAAATGTTTGTGGGTGGACATATTATCTTGTTTTAAGTATACTGGACCAAAATGTTTTTATGTCTTTTATAACTACTTTGGCTTAAAAGGTATAGCTGTTTCTTATTGTTTGAGCTGGTTCTGGACTCCCCTGAGATTGCAGTG